GGGGCCCTAGGGGGATGTGTGGTTCTGAGGGGATGGGACCCATGGGACGGGGGAGTAACATGGGGGGGGGATGGGGGATACAAGGGGGACCCATGGGGCGAGGGGCTGGGGGGGTAATGCGAGGGGGGCCCTAGGGGGATGTGTGGTTCTGAGGGGATGGGACCCATGGGATGGGGGAGTAACATGGGGGGGCACGGGGATGGGGGATGCAAGGGGGACCCATGGGGCGAGGGGCTGGGGCGGTAATGCGAGGGGGGCCCTAGGGTGATGTGTGGTTCTGCGGGGATGGGACCCATGGGATGGGGGAGTAACATGGGGGGCACGGGGATGTGGGATACAAGGGGGACCTGTGGGGTAACATAAGAGGGGGACTCATGGGGGGTGGCCTGGCGGGCAGAGCCAAGTGTGAGTTGTTGGTCAAGCCCAGGGCAGGCCACTGGGTCCCTGCCAGCTCTTGGGGCGCAGCTGCACCGAGTCGTAACAGGTGCCCACGTGCCTGGTGGGTGTGACGCTGGGACCCAGCCCATCAGCTGGCAGGGCCCGGTAGGAGGCTGCCTGCCTGGGGGATGTGGCCATCTCTAATGTCTTCTTCCCTGAATGAAGCCAGGCTCCCCATTCTAAGCTCAGTGTCTTGTGTTGATGGGAGCCAGGGATGTGGCGGGGCCGTGGGCCTCCTGCGCGGGGCTGACTTTGCCTGGGTTTGTTGGTGCTGCAGGCTTGGACCATGAGCAGGCCTTCTCCAAGATCATCGTGGAGCTGCGGAAGAAGCACCCAGGCCACATCCTGCCGGACGAGGACCTGCAGTGGGTGTTTGTCAACGCGGGCGGGTGGATGGGCTCCATGTGCCTGCTCCACGCCTCGCTCACCGAGTACGTGCTGCTCTTCGGGACGGCCGTCGACACGGGGGGGCACTCGGGTAAGCAGGGCTCGGCTACATTCAAGCAGAGAGGCTCGGGTTGAGGGGTTGCTATTGGATAGCCAGTGCTTGGAGCGCACTTTGATCTCCAACTCGAGAGTCTTGCACCCCAACCTCTAGTGCTGCAGGCATGACCCTAGCTCTGCAGTCTCTGGGCTCATGCTCGCTGAGGATGGAGGCAGAACCTTTCCCCCAGGGCTCAGCCTGTAGAGGGCTGGAAAATCTCATCCCACCTTGTAAGCCGCGGGGTGGGAGGGAGATTCAGACTTCATAGTCCTTTGCTCTCCAGGACAGAGGCTGAGCCACTTTTGCAATGTGTGCGGATCACACATGTTTCCAGCCCCCAGGAACTGGGCTGTGAGTCAGGGACTCCGTTGTTCCCTGCATTCAGGTCCTGAGCTCATAACTTTACTGTCAGTCGGAGAACTGTCCCAGGTTTAGAAGCAACCCTCTTCCCTCCACTCCCGTTGCCCCCGCTAGGCATGAAAGCCACCTGTTTGGAAGGGGTTAAAAGAACTGGCCTAAATGTGTACTTGGTCCAAACACCCTGCACAGTCCTTATAGGGCGGTACACCTAGGGAGCCATTGGGGATCTTGGCCTCAGTGCAGTGATGCGGGGGAAGGGGGACTTGTCCTGTGTTTCTCTGCCTTTTAACACCTTTTACACTAAAACAAACAACCGTGGTGTTTCCTCGACTGTGTCGCCCAAACACAGCTCAGCTGCCTGGCCAGAGGAATCCCAGAGAGATCCCCACGCTCCAGAGCTAAGGCAAGATTGTTCCCTGCAGTGCATCCCCTTGAGCTTTTTCTAGTCTAATAAGTGACTGAAGCAAACGGCTTCATCCCATTCCTTTTAGACCTTTGTCCTACCCCTGATAACTCTGCTCCCTCCATGGGACTCTTTCCCCATCAGGCCCTTGTACATGCCTGTGGTACCTTCTCTTCTCTCCACTGCCCCCTGCCAGCTGTGGTTGGGCTGAGCTGAAAAAAATTAGCACTTCCAATCATCCCTCTTATGTCCGTAGCTCCCCAGCATGGTCTGTCTGGTAAGAGGAGTGTCTCTGCCTTGTGATCCCTCTTCGTTGCCTCTTCAGTGGGGTGGCTGGGCATCCAGGATCCCCCAGCCCAGGAATGCTGTGTAAACACACTTGCCGAAAGAAACCATGTTGAGGCCCAAAAAGGGAGCCTGTCTTGTGTCTGATTTCTCTTCTCCCCATGGGTAGTTGACTCCAGCACATGTTGTTAGCTGCTGAGCAGTGAAGCCAAGACTAGTGAGAAAAGCCCAGGCCCCAGAGACCACTGGCCCAGGATGTCTGACTGCCTGTCCCTCAGATGGGCCATGGTGGGGGTGTGCTGATCAGCAGAGCCCTCCTGCCTCCAAGAGCCAAATGAGGGGGAACGCAGCTGGATCCCCAGAGAATGGAGGAGGCAGAAGCAACTCGAGACCCTTTCCCTTTAGCCTGCAGCCAGCATCTCAAGGTTGCCTCCGAGCTCCTGTTCCCTTTGATTCCCTGTGGCAAACGATCATAGAGAGGAAGGTGGCAGCATGCGGTTGGGTGGGCTCCTGTCCTTGGCAGAGCCCCTGGGGACACAACAAGCAGCCAGATCCAAGCTGTGGGTGGAAGGGATTTGTTCCATGAGCTTTTGGAGACCTGGATATTAAGGCCCCACCTTCCCCCATAACAGTGCTGAGATTTCACGCTGTGTGCCTCTCTTGCAGGTCGGTACTGGGCTGACATCTCTGACACCATCATCTCGGGGACCTTCAGGCAGTGGAAGGAGGGGACGACCAGAAGTGAAATCTATTACCCAGGTGCTGTTACCCAGGGTTCTTTCAATCCAAAGCTCTTGGTAACCTTATTCTGGGCGAGGTGGTGTCAGGAAATAAATCGGTGGGGACATGGCCATCCGACCGATAGGTGGCTGGCACAAACAGGACAATACAAGAGTGTTCATACTTAAAGCTATACTTTACTTAGTCTTAAGCACTTGCACACGTCTGCAACAGGTTGGTAAAACACCCCAAAAAATTTCAGATGCATATTTACCCAGGGCCTTGAGGCGGTGTCAAGCTGATAACTGCAACCATCCAGTGGCCAGCCGGATGTCTGCAGGGAAGCTTGAGAGGTGTCCAGGCACTGAAGTGTCCATTGAGCTCAGATTTCTTCCTCTTTTTATATCCAACTTGTTAGCATTACATAGCTTGTTCATTAACAAAACTGTTGAGCAGAAGCCAAGATAAGGGTGGAGATTTCCACCCTGTCAGGTGGACAATTTTCCATCAGTCAAGCAGGAGAACTTTCCATCAGTTAACTAGCTGTATAGCAATAGTTAACTACTGCCAGACTTTCCATCTTGCAAAATGGCATGCTTCGGAAAAGCAGCTCAAGTGAGGCGGGCAGAGGGTCATGTTTACTCCTTTGAGGTCACTCACTCCACCCTCCCCTCCTGGTCTGTTAGTTGTGCTAGAGTTTCAGAAAGGCCTCCTTTTAGCTGCTTTCAGCAATAAGTGTAGCAATTGGTATTCCAGCCGCTCGCAGTGGTTTACACATGTTACTGGGCTCTGGGCTATCAAAAATCTGCTCCTTCAGTCCATGTGGCACTGTCAGCGCCAGCCCCACCCACTCGCGTTTGAAGGTCTCCCGTGGGTGGCTGCCTTTGCAGGGCTGGTTGCCGTGGGCTTTTCATGTAGTGATTTGAATGGATAAGGCTAGAGCTTTGTTAGCCCCACAGGATAGAGGGAAACGTATAGGGCACAGCAGATTAGCCTGTAGAACATCACACCTCTAGTTCTCATGGAGGCCACGAGTCGAGCAGGATTGAAGGAAAGCGTACACGCTGATGGGTAACGAGCACATCTCCATCAGGTGGGATTAAAAAAAACATGGGGAGGGTTATAAAGCCGCCTGGTTCAGAGCAGGAGCCAGCCACTGAGTGTCAGGAGAAAACTGCCCCTTTGGAAAGGCTGTTCCTTGATTCTACGCCAGGGGGCATCCTTGCAACCTTCCTTGGAAGCAGCTGGTACTGGGGGAACAGGCTTCTGGATTAGCTCCCCCTCCGGCAGTTCTCCAGCAGGGCGCTGAGCACCCCCCTTGTCCCGGGCTAGGAGTGGAGGTTCATCAGGCCCACAAAGAGCTCCGTGTGCTGTCTCTGGAGACATACCGGGAGCAGCATGTTGGAACCAGTATTTTTCAGAATAACGGCCAGTGCTCTCTCTGTCTATCTGCCTGCAGGGGACACCATAGTGCACCAATCCGGAGAGGCCACGGCTGTCCAGTGGAGCGCCGGCACCTGGATGGTGGAGTACGGCCGTGGCTTCATCCCCTCCACGCTCATGTTCGCCTTGGCCGACACCATCTTCAGCACTCAGGACTTCGGCACCCTCTTCTGCACCCTTCGGGTTTATGCCAAAGCCTTACTCCTGGAAGCAGGTGCCTACTTCAGCCATCTGGCCCAGTGAGACCACCCTCCCCACACACCAGCACGGCCTCACAGGAAGGGCGCCCTTTTCCCATCCCCCACCATCATGCAGATTGTACCAGAAAGGCAATGGGCAAGAGCACCTCTGCCCCTTTCCCCACGCAGGCGTGCCAGGTAGGCTGACCGTTAGCTGTGTCGTCCGCCTGCCGCAGCGAGCGCTCAGCCGGGGGAGAAACAGGCAATAACACATAATGGATAAACCTAGATCACTATTTTTTTAATATCCAAATGTTCCTCTATATTTCTGTAACGAGACTGCAGCGACTGTTGAGCTGCCACCCACGTCTGTGTGTGCCCTTGCTTTCTGTCTGCAGCTGTCTCTCGTGCTCTCTCAAAATGGCAAATGAAATTTAATATGGATAAATGTAAAGTAATGCACATTGGAAAAAATAACCCCAACTATACATACAATATGATGGGTATTAATTTAGCTACAACTAATCAGGAAAGCGATCTTGGAGTCATCGTGGATAGTTCTCTAAAGACGTCCACGCAGTGTGCAGCAGCAGTCAAAAAAGCAAACAGGATGTTAGGAATCATTCAAAAAGGGATAGAGAATAAGACGGAGAATATCTTATTGCCCTTATATAAATCCATGGTACGCCCACATCTTGAATACTGCGTACAGATGTGGTCTCATCTCAAAAAAGATATACTGGCATTAGAAAAGGCTCAGAGAAGGGCAACTAAAATGATTAGGGGTTTGGAACGGGTCCCATATGAGGAGAGTTTAAAGAGGCTAGGACTTTTCAGCTTGGAAAAGAGGAGACTAAGGGGGGATATGATAGAGGTATATAAAATCATGAGTGGTGTGGAGAAAGTGAAGACGGAAAAGTTAACCTGTGGAACTCCTTGCCTGAGGAAGTTCTGAAGGCTAGGACTATAAGAGGGTTTAAAAGAGAACTAGATACATTCATGGAGGTTAAGTCCATTAATGGCTATTAGCCAGGATGGGTAAGGAATGGTGTCCCTAGCCTCTGTTTGTCAGAGGGTGGAGATGGATGGCAGGAGAGAGATCACTTGATCATTACCTTTTAGGTTCACTCCCTCTGGGACACCTGGCATTCGTCACTGTCGGTGGACAGGATACTAGGCTAGATGGACCTTTGGTCTGACCCAGTGTGGCCATTCTTATGTTCTCTGAAAACCGGGGGCCTATGAAAAACCAATTGTGGGGGTGTGTGTGACATGGATCATCCTGTGCATACACACTCTGGACATGAGAGAAACCATGCCCAGCACATGTCTGCATAGCATAGGGCCAATTCACTCGTCCCCAGCTGAACTTAGAGTTACTGCAGTGGAGTAAATGGGGATCAGCTGGTGTGAATCTGGTGTCTAGCCTTGGAAGTGACATACAGCAGGGTGGGTCTAACTTCCAAACGGACAGATGCACTCTATAGATTACATAAGATACCGGTGTGTATCCTGTAATCTGTACCTAGTCTTCTATTTACTGTTTCTAATATAGAATCTGTCTGGTTTAGAGTTCGCTCCAATACCCAGTGTCACTAGATGGCTTGTTCCGTTAGACGCTAGCATCAAGTGCCATCTGCAGTAACATGCTGCGCTACTTGTTGAAAGGCCTGTGGTTTGTGCGTGTGTGAGAGATGTGCCCATGCAGTCTGTGTCACCCTGCCCTTTTGTCATGTTTTGTGTGTACAATCTGCCTCCTTTGCAAGGCTCTGATGAGGGGAGATTAGGGAAGAAGTCCAGAGGCTGGGGCAGGGGCCCTTTCCATGGTGCACATTCTCCAGAGGCCTTGTTATTGTTTGTTCCCGTGATGGGGAGAGCCACCATCCATCGCCTTAACAGACAGCCTTATTGAGGTGGCCTCCTGGGCTATGCACGTGTCTGTACCTCCTGGTGCTGGTGCCTCAGCTGCTGGGCACTCTGTGCCCCTAAAGGGCTCTGTGTGGGCTGAGCCCCAGGGCTGGGGAGCACATGGCAGAGCTCAAGTGGAGCCAGCCTGCCCTGTGGACTGTCTCTTGTAACCGACCTCTGATGGTTATGGAGATTTGCCCCCATAGCTGTTCCCCAGTCTGAGATACCTCATTCCTCTGTCCCACGTGGCCCTGGCTCTCTCCCTAGTTAACGTACTGACATTTGAGAAGTGGACGTTACTGAAGACTGTGGGGCAGGAAAGCAGCTGTTCCAAACCTGTGGGCTACTTTCCCCATAGGGCCTCACAGCTGTTACTCCTGGGGGAATTCTGCGCCACTGCGCGCATGGAGAAACTTGTCCCCCTGCAGACTTTTTGCTCTCCCGTGGAAAAATGGCTTCTGTGGGGAAGCAAAGAGAAGCTGCACCAGCGCTCGCTCACCACTCCCTGGCAGTGCAGGCGTGTCTGGTCGGCTCAGGGGAAGAGGTAAGTCACTGCAGGGGGGAAGGGAAAGAGGGAGGGTCTGGTGATGCCTTAGCTGCCCAGGGACATAGGTGGGGGGGAGAAGGAGGAGGAAGGACGGAGACAGAGTTTCTCTCTCTCCCTTCCCTGGACGGAGCAGCTGGGGCTGGGTCAGATCAAGGCCCAGACACCTCCCCTAGCTGCAGGAAGCTTAGATCGGCAAGGACTTTGGCAGGGGAGCGGGACTGAGTGCAGGGGGTGGGGCTCGGGGGGGGGGGGGGCCCCAGGGGGGGGGGGGGAGGGGTGAGGCTCAGCGGGAGGGTTGAGTGCGGGGGCTCCAGATGTATGGCGATTGAGTGGAACTCCTTGTATAATGACCCCTCCACCCACTTCCTGGCCCCATCTATTCTCAGCCACGGGGGGAGGGGTCACTGTACGGTGAGCTTCTCCCCCGTCCGCCCAACCTCCATGCATCTGGATCTCCCCCGTCAAACCTCACCCCCAACACACACCCATACCTGGAGTCCCCCCTATATCTGGAGCCCACATACCCCGAGGACCCCCCCCACTGAGTGCCCCACACCCAAACCCCCATCTTCTGGAGCCTCACCCCCTGCATCAGGCGCACCCCCACCCCACCAAACCCCACTCCCCTGCATCCCGATGCCCCACTGAGTCCCACTCCGACACTCGCCCCCTGCTGAGCCCTAACCACCTTCACCTGGCCTCCCCTGCAGAGTTCCATTGACCCGGCACCCTAAAACCCCAAATGAGCTCCCGCACATTCAGATCCCCTCCCTAAACCAAGCTGCCCACACCAAGATTGCACCATACCCAACCTTGGTATTCTTGAAGGAATTTTGCACCAAAAATTAAAAATTCTGTGACTACAAATTTTAAAATTCTGCAAAATGCTGCACATTTTATTT